CCCGGAACCCTAAACCCTAGGGTTTAGGATCTAAACCCTGAGAGCTCTTTGCTTTCGAGGCTCCAGGGCTTCGCGAAGATCGGCATATGCTCCTACCGCATCAGCCTGCCCACAGCTCAAGGGTTTAGGGGGTTTAGGGCTTAGGGCTTAGGGTTGAGGGTGGCCGTCTCAGAAGGGAAATATGCATGCAAGCAGGCCATTTCGACTTCCGAGACTGACGACATATCATGTTGTAGCACTGGTGTGGGGCTGCCGTGGCACACGGATTCTCAGCGCTCAGCCACCTGGAGCGAAATGGCGGAGCCCATGCTCTCGTTTTCAGCTCCGGTATAAATGCAACGACATTGGCTCAACTCCAAAGTGAGGGTCTGCAAAAGAGGCAAATGGCATCTGGGCCAGGGAAATGCCGCAGTGCAAAGTGCGAAGTAGGTGTTGCGTGGCCGGCGCGAACCCTCCCGCACTCGACACGATGCTCCGTAGGGAAGCATGCTGTCACAGCCCGTCAGACCTCTGGAGCATCGACATGCTTCCGCATCCGATGACGTAAAAGGCGTTCAGGCAGAGGCACGGCTTGGGATGTTGCAAAACAAGCATCGCACACCCACGAGGGCATCCTTTCGGATGGCACTAAGACGACCCCCTGAAAAAAATTCTGCATATGTTCCTCTTACACCCGACAAGGAAAATATGAACTATCCCAAGGGCCTACCTAGCATCAAATCCGGGGGGAAGGCCCACCCCCCCCCCCCCCCCCCCCCCCCCCCCCCCCGCCCCCCCCCCCGGCTGCGACCATGCAATTCCCCGATACACCATGTCCACAAGAAACAAGATTGCCAGCAAGAGCAAGTTCACTGCTGGAAAGAATCGAGGATTCAGAACAGCTCATGGAAGTAATCGAAATAGGAAATTCAAGTTTCGACTTTTCTTCAAAGCTCCTGAACCAAACCCTCATCCCTCAACTTGAGCGAGTCTGCCTTGACCTTCTCCCTCGCCCGTAGACACAGCAGCTGTGCCACCAACTCAGGGTGCACCGCCTTCTGGCTATCTTCGATGGAGGCCCTGAGACGAAAGCTTGCCAAAACCCATCATGGGGGGGGGTTTGGGGGCCCATGTAAGGATTTGAGTTTCTCTTGGCCAATAGGGCTAATGCCCACGGAATATAGAACTACTGCTCCCAAATCGTGAGGTGTCGAGGTCAGTCTGAGACGATAGGCCCGCGCTTCTGAGATGAAAGCCCCATATGAGGGTTAGCGTTTCGGGCTCGGGTCTATCCAGCATGGGCTATTAGGCCTTATAATCCCCCTAACCAACCCCATAACGGGCCCTTTAAGGGCTTGTAGGGTAGAATAGCCCATGCAGGTAGGGTTGGTTTCGGGGTTTATAGGGCTCCAACGCTGGATTGAAGCCAGCTCACAGGGTCTCTTCTATCGCGTTGGTGCGGACTTCGGCGTTCTCCTCCCGCCGGATCGCAAACTTCACGCGATGAACCTGGAAGCTGCCACCGCTGCGGCAGACTGCAAATGCAAAGACTCCCACTGTATTGCGTTATACGACCTATAACATGTATTCAATACGAATGATTATTCTTATTGTTACGCTACGTATACATACATATATATATATATATACATATATATATATATGTATATATCATATCAGATGCACTATATACAAGATTTATATTCAATACCAATAATATCTTACAGGATAAATATGACCACAAGAACATACACATACATATATATATATATACACACATATATAGGAAATCAAAGAATTCCCTACAGACACAGGGACACAAGCCCTCAAAGGGTTGAGCTTAACCTACATTGATCCCTCTCCCAAAGTCCAAGGCCCGCGCCCGGGACTGCAGGTCATCCATCGCAAAACCTGCCAAAGATGGCCGCTGAAGGATCTTGAGCTTGGGGGTTTAGGGTTTGGGGTTTAGGGTTTCGGGGGAAGGGGGCAGGGGGGAGGAAGGGGGGGGGGGGGGGGGAAAGCGCGCAGGGTTTAGGCAAAAGGTTCACATGGAGAGTTCAGAGGGTCTAGGCATTTAGGCCTTTTTGGTCTTGCAGATGGGGATTTAGCATGGGCTCACGCTAACCTGCCTTGGATGAACTCGCCGATCATGTCGGTCAGCTTACCTTCATACAAAACCCGGTACCCCATGCACATAGCATGTGCTTAGTGCTTGGCTCATTTCGCCGCATCTCTTCGGAAGATAATGCCCAACTCGGTCTGCGCTTGGCAGGACCATGCAGCTAAGCCGCTGTATTTGTTCAGCTTATTGGTAACCTTGCCTTTTGCTCCGGACTTCTCCTTGGATTGGCGATGGCGGCAGCTCTGGTACCTACTGTATTGGTAGCTCCTTACACACAGGGGTGCCCAAAAAGGAACATGCTTTCGAGCCAAGTCAAAGCGATCCTCACCTTTGCAAGCCGGGTTGCGGAGTACATTCCGTTTGGCCCCTTGGAACACTGACCCATGCAGCCTGCAAGGCACGTGCGCAAGCGAGTCTTGCATGTGCTGGCGAATGGCTATCTACGAGCAGCCATCCCTCAAGACGTGCCCAAGAACCCTACACTTGCGGGCTTGGGGTCCAGTGAAGTAGGATTGAACTTGGAGCGAAAGACCTTCCCTTGCGTTCTAGGCACCTAGTTCTTCTACTGCCTCATAAAGGTCGAAGAAACTGAGTGAATAGATGACACGAAACTGAAAAAGGATCGATACCCGTCGCAGGCACCTTAGGATCATGGCGCTGACTCTCTTTGCCTTCATATAACACCATATTGAATTTCACTCGCTTGGGTTTTGGGTTTTGGGTTTTGGGTTTTGGGTTTAGGGTCCCTCGTAACCCTCTGAAAAAAAAACATCGAGGTTCTCGGGAGCCGAGACATGCAGTATCCCAAAGGCCTACCCAGAAATAGACCAAACCCTAAACCCTAAACCCTAAACCCTAAACCCCGAACCCTAAACCCTAAACCCCGAACCCGTACCAGATTGCTGGACGACGGCGAAGGGGCCTTCTGGTGAAGTCTTGGGAGGCACTGCGCATGCACTCTCCAGGCGCCTAAGCCTGAAACGGGCATTTACCAAAGCAACCTACCACCAAAGTGCTCTAATCCTTCTTACATAGTCAACCCTTAACCCTAAACCCTAAACCCTAAACCCCAAACCTTACCCGGTATCAAAATAACCCTCGGACCCAGCTCCTGCCTGAAGCTTCGACTGTCGCGCAGCCGAAAGCCAGGTCTTCCATATCCCTGGCGCGTTGATCACCATAATAATGCGAGACCAGTAGTATAATATATAGGGTTTAGGGTTCCATAACAAACGAAGTATAAAAGCATCAGTCGTTAAAGCTCTCAACCCCTCAACCCTATATAAACCCTGCCTGATGATCAGCCCGGCACCGTTCGCGGTGCACTTTGGGCCTGCGATCACAGGGAATAGGTCGGAATAGGGTGCATGCCACATTCCAGACTACGAACAAGGGTTTAGGGTTAAGGTACCTTATACACACGCCTCCATTCCACAGAACCCTTTAAGGGGTCATGTGGGAGGCACTCACAACCCTCAGTGGCCTTGACACATGGTAATGTACGGCATGTTCGCTGCGGCCCCCCTTGACCTGAGCAGGAGCCGCTTCTCTACAGAGTCTGACACAGACCTGTGGGAGGATCCAAAAAGTAGAACCCCCAAAATAGCACCCTACACTATTCCTAGGAACCCTTACCGGGATCTACTTTTTGGATCCTCCCGAGGGGTCTGGGAAGAGGCACATGGCTCAAACTTCCAGGAGAGAGTGTGGATGTGTTAGGGCCCCGGCGCCACGGAAGGAAGGCGCTACGGAGGGCACAATTTTTCAGGACATGCCTGCAGCCAAATCCTGCCGGCGCGGCGCGCCTTGCAAACCCTAAACCCTAAACCCTACACCCTACACCCTAAACCCTAAACCCCTCATGCAGGCATCTATCGAAGTTGCTTTGAAGTGGCGGAAACCGTGATTCCTAAATGGGGGGGGGGGGGTCCCAAGTAGTAGGACCCCCTTTAAACTAAGGACTTAGGGTTCCTGTGCCGCCCAGTAACCATATTCGAATCAATCAAGGTACCCTTTGTTGTTGGAAACGATCTGTCAAGATGTTTACATCGGAAGCCTGGGAAGCAATAAGAGTATAGGAATACCACCGGGATCCCAGAAACAGCACTGGGTAGGACTCGTATGACTAGATGCGTCCACACTTCATCCTAAAGCCTGAACCCTGTCAACTCTATCGGCCCTAATGTAAACCCTATAAGCCCTACAAGTTCTAGAAATCCTCCAAACCCTGCGTGAAGACCATATACCCCCATATGACCCTGTTAACCCGATTCACCCTACAAGCCCGGTCGATAGAGTTTGGATGAAGTAAGCGTGGATGAATAAAGCCCAACCCCCAACGCCCCCTCCCTCCCTACCCTAAAAACCCTAAGCAAGGGTTGGTCTCAATGAGCTAAGTTCTTAAATAGGGAACTCGGGAACGAGGGATCCAACCCCAGACCCCAAACCCGAAAATCTACACCCAAGCCCCGAAACTTTGAGGCACGAGAGGTGGTGCCGACTTTATTCCCAAGCTCCCTTCCGAAGAACAGGGAAGATGACTCACTCCATCTCGGTTTCCCACGAAGCCACAAACGCTAAGGGTCTCAGGCTACGGTTACAGACAAGAGCCACAGGCGTAGGTCAACTCAAAATGTTAACCCCCCTACCCCTGAGATTAAACATTCCCCATACAATATACTTTAACTTGTAAGAGGAGTATTTCATACTCGGGGGTAATTTAGGGAAAAGGGATTATAAACCCTAAACCCAGAACCCTCAACCCTGAACCTAAACCCAAAACCCAAAACCCAAAACCCTAAACCCTAACCCCTAACCCCTAAGCCCTAAACCCGAAACCCGAAACCCGAAACCCTAAATCCTAAACCCTAAACCCTAAACCCTAAGCCGGGGCCGGCGCTCGTTGACATCTTGGCCATGGGCCTCGACTTGAGTCACCGCCTGGAGCCGCGGTTCAGGGTTTAGGGTTTAGGGTTTAGGGTTTAGGGTTTTGGATTTAGGGTTTAGGGCCAAACCCCGTCACATGCTCTGCCCAACTGCCCCAGCAGAATGCTTCCTGTAGGGTTTATGGGGGTTTTGTTGGGGGTTATGGTTTCATAGGGTTTTTGGGGTTTATAGGGTTCATGGGGTTCATAGAGTTTTTGTTGGGGTGTAGGGAGGTTTTTTTTGCTGCGTCTCGTGGTCAACAGGATCGCTCAAGGTACCCCCAAGGCATGGATGCCCGACTCCAGGACCTCACTCTCCCGTGAGATGGCATGTTATAGGGTTCGTCAGGGAGTTTAGGGTTTAGGGTTTAGGGTTTAGGGTTTAGGGTTTAGGGGGTACCTAGGGAAGCTTAGGGAGCCTTAGGGAGTAGTGGAGAATGTTACGGAAGCTTGGATTACATAGCCCCCTAGAAGTGGGTCTCAAGAACCGAAACCCTGCTTCTGAGGGCGGCGCGAACCGAAGCCAACTTGAAGCCGGGGGGGGGGGGCGGGCCCAACTTAGATTATAGAGGGGTCGGGATAACTACTCATCGCATTCCCTTGTGGTCCCTGTATAGATAAACTACAGTCATCCCCCAAAACCCTATTCTACATATGAATGCCCTCTATTGGCTAGCTCATCTATTTGACATTTCCACATCGCACACAAATTGGCCAGGGGGTTTTTGGAAGGATGCCACCACAGCACCAAATCGGGCACCCTAAACCCCAAACCCCAAGCCCCAAACTCTAAACCCTAAACCCTAAACCCTAAACCCTAAACCCGAAAACCGCCACGGCACGCTGAAAGCTGGCGCGCGCAACGCCAAGCTGAGGCAAGCGCGGACTGCACCAGCGTCTCCACAGTGTCTTGACCTGGAGAGACCCAGGCGTGACCCAGGAAGAAAAAGGGTCCCAACCCAAAACCCAAAACCCAAAACCCAAAACCCAAAACCCAAAACCCTAAACCCTAAACCCTAAACCCTAAATCCTACACAAGGCAACAAGGGCCTACTCCGGGTTCTAGCCTCAGGCCCGAGTTCTGGGGTCGAGTCCGGAGTTTTGGCTAGGGTTTTGGGTTTAGGGTTTAGGGTTTGGGGTTTAGGGTTTATAGGGTTTAAGTGCCTTAGGGTTTAAGGGTTTAAGGGCTTTAGGGTTTGAGGGTTTAGAGGCCTTACGGCTTAGGGTTTCGGGTACCCCAACCTCTAAACCCTGGATCCTAAACCCTTTCCGAGGTCCCTGCCAGTGCCCTTTGCGAGCGCCTGGGATGTGGTGGCATCCTTGCATCGCTTGCATGTTGCAGACGTAGTGGATACGAGGGTTTAGGGTTTGGGGGGTTAGGGTACTGTGGGGGATGGCCCTCAAATGACCTACCGTAAACTCCAGAAAGTTGGAAGCAAGATTAGCTCAGGGATTCCCCTACTTTGTGGAGTTTCCTCATAGTAGTCTGCCAAGACGGGATGGGACCAGATTTCAGACACCTGACCATGCGAGCACACCGTAATCGCCGGTATTTCTGTCGTTGATTCATAGGGAGGCTTCACAAAGGCATGCCCTAAACCCTAAACCCTAAACCCTAAACCCTAAACCCCCAAATCCCCAAACTGAATGAGCTTCTCAAGCAGCTCTGGGAATAAATGCTAAAGACGCTACAACAGCCGGGGGGCTTCAAAGGCACTTGTGTACACTAAAGATATAACCCTGAAGCCTAAACCGTTACCCTAAACCCTAAACCGTAAACCCTTTACCCTAAACCCTAAACCCTATCAGCCTCACTAAGCCCTACCTACACACGGGGGTGGCTTCGCAACTTGGCCTTAGCGAGGTCGACGGGCGTCGCGCTGGAAGGCGGCTGCCCGGTGGCCTGTGCAGCATTTCGGGATTTCGGGGCGGGGGGGGGGGGTTGGGGTTTAGGGTTTAGGGTTTAGGGTTTAGGGTTTAGGGTTTAGGGTTTAGGGCTTAGGGCTTAGGGTTTAGGGTTTAGGGTTTAGGGTTTAGGGTTCAGGGTCTAGGGTAGGGTCTAGGGTTCGGGGTTCGGGGTTCGGGGTTTAGGGTGTAGGGTGTAGGGTTCTTGCTGCTCTTGGTACATGATCGAAGAAGGGTTAAGGTTTCAAGGGTTGGTGTTATGAACTCCTCTGAAACATGGCATTACCATCAGAACATGCAAAGATCTGCGTCACCCGAAGCCATTGCAGATATGCCTCTGCTCCTTGTGCGTCCGGCAAAATGGCCTGGGTTCACGGGAAGCTGATCCAGAATGTAAGATAAGAAGCACGCGGTAATTATGGATGCAAAACTAGTAGTCCCCGGAACCAGTGAGTCTTGGCCGGTAATTATGGATGCAAAACTAGTAGTCCCCGTTCAGAACCAGTGAGTCTTGGCCCAGCAAGTTGCCAATGGTCAGTGGGTGGAGGGTTTAAGGGTCTAGGGTTTAGGGCTGATGTTTCAGGGTTAAGGGTGTAGGGTTTAGGGCTTGAGGTTGCGGGCTTAAGGCTTAAGAAGTCTAGGGTTCAGGGTTTCGGCAACTCCCTGCCCAAGCTGTGAACAACTGACACGGTCACGCTTGTAAGCACGCTCGCCGCATGGCACCTTGGCAAATCTGTCAGCACCATGAGCAACGAGGACCTGCAGGTGAGCACGCATGGGTAGCTCCCGAAAATTGCAGGTCCCTTTGGGGTGACCTTTTCAGAAGGTGTCCTAGCACATAGGGACACCAAAAGGGAACCAAATTTAGAGAACTACTCACATAAGGGTCTGTCGCCCACTCTGCTTGACAAGCGCCCGCGTGTTTGGCCTGAGCCGCTCGGTAGTTTCCCATCGCTGAGGCATGGTGGAGGGGCGTCACACCTGGAAGCCACATCTGCAGCATTCGGATGGGCTTAGGGTTTAAGGGGTTTATGTGGGGTTTACTAGTGTTTACAAGGTTTATAGGTTTATAGGGCTTATGGGGCGAGGCACGTTGGTGTCCGGCGCCACTCCGTGTTGCTTCCTTTGATCAAGTTGACCGCTTCCCGAAGCTTGGCTTCTCTTTTGCTTTCCGTACCCTGAACCCTAAACCTGTCTGCCTCCGACGTCTTCCAGTGCCGACTCTGCTTCTGCTTCGCAGAGATGTTCCTACTGGTCTCTTGGCTTCCGCAACTTCGACTTCACGGAAGTTCATGATGCCTGGTCTGTGCCTTTGCTGGTTGGTTTAGTTTTATCCTTTTGTCGTGGTGATTTCCACGCAGAGCTCGTCAAGAAGACCAAGAAAGCAACGCGATGCATCCTCGTGGGCACTTAGTGCGTGATCAGATAACGGCATTCCGGCCACGGTTCACAGCCAGAACAAGAACGTTGTCAACCCGCGTCTGCGTCAGTACTTCTGCTGCCATGTGTGGCGTTCACAGCTGCCACCAAACGCAGTCTTCAGCAAGCACTGGGCGAAGAGTTGCTGAAAAGACGCTCCAGGTCGTTGCCTTAACTTTTACGCTCCACGAACACAAGACCCTTAAACCACTTTCCCGAACACCTCTTTTCAAGAAACGCTGGCAGGCGTGGCACTTTTTTTATAGGTAAGCCAACATGGCACCTGCAAAAACACCTTAGGGCCAATTGCCGACGTGTGAGCTTATGAGCTTGTAGGGTTTACAGGGTTTGTAGGGTTTATAGGACGTATAGGGGTTATAGGGAAGGGTGGGCCAACTGCAGAGTGAGCTGGGGCCTTGGATGTCACGATGGTTGGCGATCTGTAGCGAGAGATCCTGTGACCTTGCTGCAACACAAGGAAGCACGTAATCCCGATCCCATTGAGAAGCATGGTGAACAACAACAGAGCTAACATTCGGTAATAACCATAAACGCCAAAAACCATACCAAGACAAAGATGAGTAACGGCAAGACATGTGTTAATATATATATATATGTATATATATATATACTGATACATCTACACACACACACATATATCTATAAGGTTCTGACGTCTCATGAAGAAGATAGCAGCATCACTGACAGTACAGTGAGATCCGGTGTGGCCCTGTGCTCCTGGCCGCTTAATGTGCTGGTGGGCAATGGCGGCAACCTGCTGTCGCTGTTCGAGGGGCACGCCGTGAACCCTTTAAACCCTAAACCCTAAACCCTAGTTCAGCGTCGGTTCAGTGCTTAGGGTCCTTCACGTGCCAAGGCATCGCCAACTTTCTCCACAGGGGCCGGCCACTGGTCTCGGTCTGCCAGTCTCAGAAGTAGTTCTCCACGAAGGGCAGGGGTGCCAGGACCTCTCAACAACAGTGCACCGAAGTAGCTGCCTGTCCTAGTCCTCCTGAAACAAAAATTACAACTTTACCACAGGACAAGGTGCGATCGGGAGGATCCAAAAGTTAGATTCCCTTAAGGGTTCCTAAAAGTGAGCCACGAGTAGTGCAGGATACTAGTTGGGGGTTCCACCTTTTTTGGATCCTTTCGGGCGTCCAGGTCAGAACCAGTAAACACTTGCGCATCGCGAGGCCTCAACCTCATCCGGGTTGGCCTCCACCATCTTCTTCTCCTTGGGCCTTGGGAGCCACGGGCGGGACCCTTCCTTCCTTGCCTCTCTACCCCCCCCCCCCTACAGGTAGTACAAGCAGCTTTGTTAACATACCTTTGGGCCTCTCTCTCTCTCTCTCTATATGTATATACAGGTAGTACAAGCAGCTTTGCTGACATGCCTTTGGGCCTCTCTCTGTCTCTATGTATATACTTTGAAAACATACCTTTGGGTATGTGTGTGTCTCTCTCTCTCTCAACATACATACATGTGTATAAACACATAAATGCATTAGTACGTACATACATCATTGTATGCATACTCTCCGATACACTCCTGGCTAAGGGGACTGTAGACTGTAGCACCATGTTCGCTGCAAATCCTCGAACTACGTTGAGGTGGTACGCCCGCTGCCGCTGCCTTCGCCTTCCCTGCCCGCTACCCTAAACCCTAAACCCTGAACCCTAAACCCTAAACCCTGAACCCTGAACCCTAAGCCCCGAACCCTAAACCCTGAACCCTAAACCCTAACCCTAAACCCCAAACCCCAAACCCCAAACCCTGCCGGCATGCCTCTCATGCGCGTGGCAAGACGTGGCCCTACTTGAAGGTTCACCCATGATGTGGGGTTGGCAGGAGGATACTTCCGGTCGCACCCACATATGCATATGTACGTACAAACGCTTATAATCCCAATCCAACGAACCTGTTTACGAGTATATGTATATACATACATATATATATATATGTAATATGCAGATGCAGATATCAGAGTACTTCTAACCTCCAATCCCTCAACCCTAAACCCTAAGGCCCCTTGAGCCCTAAAGACTAAGCCTCCCGCCCCACGGGCTGGCGCTTCACCACGATGGACTTGCCCTCTAGCTTGGCCTGAAACAGGTTTATGGTTCAAAGGGGTTCGGGTTCAACTAGGGTTTAGGGTTTTCGAGGTTCAGGGTTTGGGATTCGGGTTCAGCTAGGGTTTAGGGTATTAACGTTCAGATTTTGGGGTTTGAAGGGTTTCGGGTTCAACTAGGGTTTAGGGTTCAGGGTTTAGGGGTAGAGAACCCATCGATCTTTTTGATGTAATTCCAGAATCAACCCCCGTCAGGCCGAGTGCAGCCAGACGGTTACCATTAACATCCGTGAATGACGCGGTGAGTTGCAAAAGAACTCAACGGTACAAACAGGCATCGCAAGATTCCTCAACTATTGATCTGACTCACGAAATCTTGCAGTTGTCGTACCTACAGAGCCTAGTACCCCTCATTGAGGAATCACTAGATACGGAACTTTAAGGTATGCTAAGGTGGGTTAGACTGACCTGGGTACCCTAAACCCTAAACCCTAAACCATAAATCCTAAACCCTAAACCCGAAACCCGATGACAAGATCCGAAGCTGCACCTGCTGCTTCTTGCGGTCGTTCTCCTTCACGCGCTTCTTGAAGGCCTGTGATGAAGTAGGGTGATGAGTTTAAAGCGTTTAAACCCTAAACTCAAAAGAGGAGGGTTTACTGAGTTGGAAATCAAGACTTTAGGGTTTCCGTAGCACATGACACTTTTCGTAGAGGATACCTAGGACCTAAAACTCCTGCACTGCAAGGTGTTTCGCAACCTTAGCATGCAAGCCTCAACCCTTTCGACCCTAAAACCTAGGCTTCTTCTATGGGGTCCTTAAATGAGGGGTGTTCATGGAAGGTAGGCACCTAGCGAAGAACACCCCCCCTCCCCTCCCATTCTTGGGGTTCCTAAACGCTAAACCCCAAACCCCAAAACCCTAAACCCCAAACCCCAAACCCCAAACCCTAAACCCAAAACCTTACGGGGGCTGCCTCGTTGCAGCGCGACTTGCGCACGTGCTCGATGCGCCTTCAGAGGGGCGGCGCTTTGGGCTTCAGAGCCTCTGAGGCTCTTTTGAGGGTTTAGGGTTTAGGGTTTAGGGTTTAGGGTTTAGGGTTTAGGGTTTAGGGTTTAGGGTTTAGACCCTAAACCCTAGACCCACAGGCTCCCATGTAGTTCCTTTTTGGGTTAGTTATAGGGGATTCTGGTATACTACCCCAAAAAGGTACTACGTAGGAGCCTGAGGGTAGACCCTAGACCCTAAACACAACCACTCTTACAGGGCTTAGGGATTAGAACCCTCTTTACAAGGGATGCTACTATGAAGGCACCCACTATAGGGACCATAAAGCCATCATCCCCATAAAGCATCATCCGAAACAACACACCCCCCCCCCCCCCCCACCCTCCCCAAAGCCCCAAAGGGCTTCTGGATTGGGTAGTCAGAGAATTTTCATCCATCTACAGGAGCCGGCTCTTGAACAACTTCGGCTTGGCTGAGGGATGTTTGGGGCTTAGGGTTTCAGGCTTGGGGATGTTTAGAACCCTAAACCCTAAACCCTAAACCCTAAACCCTAAACCCTAAACCCTAAACCCTAAGCCCTAAACCCTAAACCCTAAACCCTAAACCCTAAACCCTAAACCCTAAACCCTAAACCCTACCTTCGGGGCTTAGATCCACGGACTCCTTCGGTTCCGAGGGATGAGGGCCCTGCACGTGGATCCGCTTTCGCAGCTGGCGGTTGCCAACAATCTTGGTGATCTCCACACCTCGGCAAGCGGAGATGGGGGTTCAGGGTTTAGGGTTTGGGGTCTTGGGGCTCTGGGTTCTAAACATCCCTAAGCCCGAAACCCTAAGCCATAAAGGTATAGGGCTCAGGGCTTTGAGTAGGGTTTAGGGTTTAGGGGCCTTTGTTTTTTTTTTTGAAACTCTGGACCAACCCTATACTTACTAGCGCTCAGGGAGACACAGCTGCGTCGCTAGCTGTAGCCCCCTGTAGCCCCACTTGTGCCTCGCTTGCGGTAGGCTCGGCCCTTTGAGGCGTCGGCCCAGGGCGTTGCGGTTGACGTTGAAGACAATGCCAGTGCGGCCATGGTACAAGGAATATGGCAAGCCTTCCGGAGGTGGAGAATATTTACAGAATGGAAATCTGTAAAGAGCGAGTATGGATCCTTTACTACATACTGTATGCTACATGCTTTTTTTATAGTATGCAGTCTAGTAAAAGGATATCATATATTGTACGAAAGAATTCTATTACGCATAGTGGTTATAGACATATGTTTTGCCAGGCTCAGCTGCGTTATTGTTCGGCCTTTCTGGATGGAGGGATCTGCCACGATGTCGACGTAGTCTCCACGCTTGAAGTTCACGAGGTAGCGGGCGATGCCAGGTCTGCAGACATTGGTCTCTGTAGACTCTGAACATGTCTAGGCACGGCGGAGAGGTCAGGCAATGTGCGCAGGACTATGTATACTATGACAAGAGCCTAAACCCTAAACCCCAAACCCTCTTGATGCAACCCACGCAGCCTGCCCTTGGTGCGGTACTTCTTGGAATACCTTGTTGGCAGGTGCTTGTCCAGGCTCGGGGTCTAGAGTTTCAGGGACAACCCTAAGCTCGGAATTAGGGTTTATAACAGGGTTTAGCGATGAGGCCCTGGTTTGTCAAAAAAATCGGTTTAGGGATTAGAGGCTTTAGGGTTTATAGAGTTTTTGTGTTCAGGGATTACAGGGTTCAGGGTTTCGGGATTACGGGGTTTAGGGTTAGGGATTCCAGGGCTCAACGCCCTTAGGGTTTCTAGGGCTTCCCACAAGGGTCGCAGAGACCCGGAACATTCAATACTCTCATGATGCTATAATACAATATCATAGAATTCATGAATGATATCTAACATAATGAATATGTCCCACAACGGCTGGCACCACAAGAAACAGCGAGGAGGCAAGCTCGGAGCTCGGCGGCTCGTGCATTCTCACGACTACGCTGTTTTGGGGGAAAAACCAGCCGCATGTATGCCAAACTTCCATGGTTCAATTCAGAACCTGCGCGCAATTGCTCCGAAATTCCCTAAACCCTAAACCCTAAACCCGAAACCCTAAACCCTAAACCCTAAACCCAAAAGAGTCCCACATGTCCTGGGTTCCAACAAGGCAAAGTTGCTTGTCGCGGGTTCCGTGGCGGTAGCCCTTCGAGATGACGCGCGTCTTACCCATCGCTCCGCAACTCCTCCAGCCCCAGATAGGGGATGTCAGGTCGGTTGGTTCAGGGTTTAGGGTTTAGGGTTTAGGGTTTAGGGTTTAGGGTTTAGGGTTTAGGGTTTAGGGTTTAGGGTTTAGGGTTTAGGGTTTAGGGTTTAGGGTTCAGTTCAGGGTTCAGGATTTGGGGTTTAGGGTTTAGGGTTTCAGGTTTCAGGTTTCCGGTTTAGGGTTACTGCGAACTGCAAGTACGAGGATCTACAGAGGTAGAACACAGCGACAACGAAGTGAGAGGTACGACGATGACCAGTAGCAATAACATCTGACAACTCATATAACAACAATAACAGTTTAGAAAAACGAAAGCACGGGTTTAGGGCTTAGGGTTGAGGGTGTAGGGCGCTCTAAGCAGGGCTCTCGCATTTTAAGATTTTTGTCTCTTTCGGAGGATCCGAAAAGGAGGACTTATAGCGCATAATGGGGTTTACAGTAGGGTTTAGGGATGATCGTATGTTGGGGCTTCGGCAACGCATCTGCTGTGCTTGGACTCCTTCACCTCAGTCCTAAGCGCTAAAGCCCTCGAAGCTCTTGTCAGAGGATGCCTTCCCTTCCGCCCCCGAGGCCTTAACGACAGGGTCCTTAAGGGAGGAGGGGGGGGGATGGGGGTGGGGTACCGGGTGTAGCTTTGAGGGTTTGCGCCATCAACCCTGTGAATAAACCGTATAACCCTGCATCCCACATAGCCTGAACCCTAAACCCTAACCCAGAACCTCAGACCCTGAATCCAAAACTGTCCGAAACCCCCTGAGCCCAAAACCCAAAACCCCAAAACCCAAAACCCCAAATCCTGAACCCTAAACCCTACACCCTACACCCTAAACCCTAAACCCTAAACCTGCACTGAGTGGCCTGAGATGGCTCGGCTCAAGGCTGTCAAGGAGACGTCGGATCCCCGAGCCCGATGGCTACGCGGCGAAAACATCACGAAATCACAGGAATTTAGGGATTAGGGTTTATAGGGTTTAGGGTTTAGGGTTTAGGGTTTAGGGTTTAGGGTTAGGGTTCAGGGTTAGGGTTTGCGGTTTTGGGGGTTTGGGGGAGTTTGGAGGGTTTTAGGGCCACGTTCTTCGCATGGTTGGGGGCGGCCTTGGGGTTTTTCAGGGTTGCGAGGGCTTCAGGGGGTTGAGGGTTGTGAGGATGTGCGGGTTGATTTAGAGTTTAGGGTTTAGGGACCATCTCATAGGGAACTGAACAGGAGGCATCCGACCATGCAAGCAGAGCGGTACAAGCAGAGGCCTATAACCAGTCTTCAGGGATTTAGCCACCTAAGCCCTAAACCCTCAACCCTCAACCCTAAACCCTAAACCCTAAACCCCAAACCCGAAATAAGGGCCCTGCTCGACTTTGAACTTTTGAACTTGGGGAAGCCTACGTGAGACACCTTCCGGCCTCCTCTTCCAGCAAATACCCAGCAAGAAGCTTCATGAGACCGGGCCTCCGTAGAGACAGCCAAAACGACATCATGTTTATAGTGTAGATATATATATATATATGTGTATACATATATATATATATATATAGAGTATACATATATATATATATGTGTATATATATATATATTTATCATTAATAGTATAAGTATACACATGTATGTGTATATTGTAATGTAAAGCATGGACTCTAGACTGCGTCCTCCATGCACGGATGAGATCTTCAGCGTACCGGGAACTCCCCACCCGTGCGGAATCTCGAAGAGCTTGCTCGTCATGATGTCGTCGATCTCCCGGCCCCTCGCTAAGTTAGGGTTTAGGGTTTAGGGTTTAGGGTTTAGGGTTTAGGGTTTAGGGTTTAGGGTTTAGGGTTTATGGCTTATGGCTTCAGGCTTAAGGTTTAGGGTTGTTTGGCGCTTTCAGCCGGCAACATACCCAAAGTAGCGCGAGGAAAATGCAGAATGCTTCCGACAATGTGCTGAGCCCCCCGTCTTGGGGAACTCGAAGAGGCTTGTGAGCAGGAGCCTGGCCAGGTTGGATCGGTCTAAAAGTTTTTTGGGTTCAGGGATTCGGGTTTAGGGTATCAGACTCAGAAAGCACCTCTTTGGAGAGGGAAATAACAATTCACGGACACATCTAAGGCTGAGGCTTGAGAAGCTGAAAGCAACCAGAATACGCGTCCCGCACCGCGTAGTGGAGGCACGTGAACTGATGCTTGTCCTGGCCAAGTGCATTTAAACCCTCAACCCTATAGTAAAGTGACTCGGCTGTAACTACCTGGAGTTTGGAGGAACCCTTTTTCAACATCCCCTCAAGAGAGGGTTGAGGGTGGAGGGCCTGCATGGAGGGTTTAGGGCTGAGGGTTTCGGGTTTAGGGGTGAGGGTTGCCGTATCAGGAGAACATGAGAACCCTTAAGAGACACAACCTCGAAGGGACGTGTTTGGATGCCTTGATATAGCGCAGCTGTCATCAAATGCCTTTGTAAACCTTGGCGCAGAACCCCCCAGACCCTAAATCTGTCTTATGATTCTTAAACGGCTCCGCATCATTACGAGGGCTTACGTTGAACTGACCTCACCTGAATGACCCCTGGGCCAGAAATTGCACCACGAGTATACCCTCCAACCTACCTTTCGCAAACTGCCTATGAAGCCTACCAAGTGCTCCATAATCATTAGGCTCTTACGATGGAAACAGCCCCGCCAAACTCAACGGCTGCCCAACTGCCTGAAACCCTAAACCCTAAACCCTAAACCCTAAACCCTAAACCCTAAACCCTAAACCCTAAACCCTAAACCCTAAAAGCCCCCTGGCTGAAGCGGCCTCAGATAGCAAGAGGTCGCGCCGCGTCTCCTCCAGGGCATGGAGGTAGTCCGCCTCCCATCGGCCGTCGGCCAAAAGCTGGGATGCAGGCTGAGCGGCCTTTACTTCCAAAAGCCCCAGCCCTAAAGAAGACTAATCCTAATTCGTAACCCTAAATCCTAGTCGCTGCGAAGCCGAAAAACGCCCTAAAACCGAAACAAGCTCTAACCTCAAGCCCCAACACAAAGAGCCTACAGAGCTTCATCTTGCTTAAGCCCCGAAATAAAGTGAAAACCCCAAGCCGTGCATTCTAGCTGAGTCGACGCAAACCCCCCTAAACCCTAAACCCTAAACCCTAGACCCTGAACCCTAAACCCTGAACCCTATAAACCCTAAACCTGCCCAGGGCACCATGGCGCTCTTGGCCGCACGTTGGTCTGCCATTGACGGATCCTGACTCGGCACAAACGCAAGCAAGGCCATGAAGACTTGTTAGTTGGGGGTTTACGCAAGGTTCATGACATGCCTTTCCATACAACAGACATGCTACCTACATACATCCATGCATGCATACACACATACAGATATAAGGACTATTAGATGAACACACACACACACACACAGACACAAACACACACACACACACAAACACAACTATATATGTATATATAGATATGTATATATTCACACGTACACTCACACATCTTCGTTATGTATGCATTTACACATGTATATGTAGGGTCTCTTGGGCTAGAATGGCTATTTTGAACCCTGCTCATTACGAAACTCCTTTTGCAACAGGGCCTCATTGCTGCCAAAGCCCTAACCCCGTCTGAAAGCACGGTTGAGCCTGCAAGCCAAACCTAAACGCGTTTTGCCAGCGAAGGGCCTTTGCTTTATTGGGTGGTATGGTTTTGGGGAAGTAGAGAATCAATCCAAACAGGGCAGCGCCCTCCCCCCACACAGATTCATCTTGCTTTTGACTCCCAGAAGAACGATCCCAGGCGCTTAACCCTAAACCCTAAACCCTAAACCCTAAACAATTGCACAAGCTCCAGTAGTTCCCTCATGGGGCAATCACCCAGAACCCTGAATAGTTGGGATAAGAAATATACCATAGCTGAGGCCCTGAACAGGGGCCTCAACCCTACACCCTAAACCCTAAACCCTAAACCCTAAACCCTAAGCCCTAAACCCTAAACCCTATACCCAAGGTAGCCTAACCCCCTAGAGTAACGAACGCCGCCAACCCATCCTCCCAGGGCTCGGTCGGCTCCATGCCTCAGGTTTAGGGTTCCGGGATCTTGCGGTGCGTTTAGGGTTTAGGGTTTAGGGTTTAGGGTTTAGGGTTTAGGGTTTAGGGTTTAGGGTTTAGGGTTTAGGGTTTAGGGTTTAGGGTTTAGGGTTTAGGGTTTCGGGATCTTGGGGGGCATTTAGGGTTTAGGGTTTAGGGCTAGGGTTTAGGGTTGAAGGGTTAGGGTTTACGATTGGCCTGGGCCGGCGATTCGCAAGGCCCCTTTGAATCACCATGCGTTTGGTAACACCCCGCCCTGCCAGAATCCCTTTTCGTTCGAATCATATCGCCATTGTTCTTGGCTGACTGGGCACTATGTGCGTGCGTGCTTCCAAGAACTTCTTTCGTCAACATTTGAGGGCTTCCTTCATAAAGACTTGATTTGGTGTCTGCTTTCATGGCAAGAATGAGTCTTGCAGATTTTGTGGGTGGAGTTGTTGGAGATAGGGGGTCGGACGTGTCAGGGTCTCAGGCATTTTTCAAGGAGGTGTGCGTCCGGTTTGTCAGGGTGCCAGAGGCAGAAGGGGTCCCAGTTTCCAGCGAGGTCCCGGGTCCTACAGGGCTCCCAAGGGTCTGAGGAGGTTAGGGGGTTAAGGGGGTTTGTAGGGTTTGGTTGGGTTAAGGGCTTCAAAAGAACGTTGGTCCCCAACGCTGCGGCGAGGGTTGTCTGGGGCACCCCTCTGCGGGCTCAAAAAAATACCCAAACCAAAATGTTTCGTTGAGGTTCTTATCTGCATAGGCAGAGAAGATTTAGGGTTTAGGGGTTTAGGGTTTATGTGGGGGTGTATGCCACTGCGCAGTGTTCATGGTTGATGGTGCTCAAAGGCTCATCAGCCTACTCTGCCTGGCTGGAGGACATGACTCTAGTGGATAATTGTGTATCCATCTGGCGGGTTCGCGAAGATAAGGGGCCCCGAAAATAGACCCCCAAATAATTAGTAGGATTCCCGTATACGAAGGACCCCAAACAGGTGCCCCAATTTCGGAGACCCCCAGATTGCAATAAGGGCAAGGATGTAGGGTGTGCGTCTTGGTGCTAGCTACTTAAAATGAGAAATCTCAAAGCCCAAGCAGATCAAAAGGACACCGCTGGGCTACTAATTGCAGGGAGATTCTACTTGTGAACGATCTTTGGGGTTACATTTTTGAAGCTGCTAAGTGGCGCTTTTTTTAATTAACAAAGCGGGGAAGAATAGGGATTTAGCCTTCAAGGCCACCTGGGTGAGCGGCGCTCACGGCGAAATCGCTGAAGTGCTGCTGCACGTATCCTTGTCGCAGAAGGAACGGATGTCAACACAATTAGTGGAATATAGGGTTTGGGGTTTGGGTACATAAATGTATATATGCGGAGATATGCTTCTTAGGGTACTTGCATGGTCCCTTAGTATGGGCCCTTAAAACTTACATACCCACCCTGCACAACCCGAGGGCCCATACTTCAGAACCCTGTAAAGGAGGTAAGGGACCATACTAAGGGCACAGGTAACTACCCATTAGAAACACAAGGAAGCTGAAGGATGAGGGATGTTACGTTCCGGAGGGTTTAGGGTTTAGGGTTTAGGGTTTAGGGTTTAGGGTTTAGGGTAGTTTAGGGTTTAGGGTTTAAGGTTCTGGGTTCCCTTTGCCCTAAAGCATCTCTTGGGAACCGATTACAGTTCGGAGGACTTAGGCTTTAGGGTTCCTTGTGCCCCAAAACGGAAACCATAACACAGGAGCTAGCTAGGATCACAAGAGCGGGGCCCTAAAATATCTTAAGAGCCGGCCTGTTACAGCGTCCATACGCCCAAGCATTTCGTAGAGGCATGGAGTTAGGCACGAGGACTACTCATCGCCAGCTAGAAGAGTTAACAAGTACGACGAAGAATAAAGGATATCGCGCATGAAGACTGCAGACATGTACAACACGTTCTAGGATATGTTCACATACCACTTACATGACACAATATATTACTCTCTCATGCGATACGTATAATTACTCGGTAGCCCAGGTACCATACCATAATACGGGTACCCTTTTGGGGCTTGGTTGCTTGATAAGGGAACCTAGAACCCAAAAAAGTGCTAAAGAGTACCACCGGGCTACCAAGTAGTTGAAAGAACTTGCAGACTTCCCGAGAGCGGCCTGGACACACACGTGCCGAGCAGCTCCCTGGCCACGCCCACCTCTAAAGTCGGACAAAGGGTTTAGCGCTCAGGGTTTAGAGTGTAGAGCTTTCCTGCTGTGTTTGTAGGAGTGCAACTATCGCGAAGAATCAAAGCCAAGCCTTTCTCTAAGGGAGTTTTGTAGGACTTTTATTGTAGGGACGTCTGAAAAACACCGTGTTGCTGCTGCTTGCAGGAACCCGATTCTAGGGAATATTGCAGTTGGACCGAGGCTGGTATCATTCTACTTGGAGGTTCATGGATACTTATTCACCCAATATAAGTGTACTCATAACTCACCTTATAGCCCTCTTTAGTGCCCTAGTATGGTGATGAGTCCGGTTACTATAAGTACAGCTGTAATGTGCTATTAAGTACCATGAACCTCCAAGTACTCTTCTCAACTGCAAGGCAGGCATTCGCCGAACTTCCGGGCAGCGCTGGCCTGGCCCATTGCTGCCGCCACGTGCAGCGGAGTGCGCTCCTCTTGGCGGAAGGCGCATGGGTGCTTGTAGCCACATGTCAGGGGACTAAGGGGACCCTAAACCCTAAACCCTAAACCCTAAACCCTAAACCCTAAACCCTGCATCCCCAGGTTGTGAAGAATGCTGCTGCTCTGGGTGGCTTTAGGGTCTCGGGCTTAGGGGCAGCATGCCGAAGCAGCAAGCCAAAGCCATATGAAGTAGGGTTTATATTTCTTGTACCCCCAAAAGGACATAAAAAAAAGGAACCTTCTATGCACTCACCAAGAACAGAAATATAAACCCTGCTTCATATGAGCTTTCAGGAGAGCTCCTCGCGGTCGCGCAGAAAGGGATCTGCGCCAGCTTGGAGCAAGGCTTGGGCCACCTCGGGTTAGGGTTTAGGGTTTAGGGTTTAGGGTTTAGGGTTTAGGGTTTAGGGTTTAGGGTTTAGGGTTTAGGGTTTAGGGTTTAGGGTTTAGGGTTTAGGGTTTGGGGTTTAGGGTTTAGGGTTTGGGGTTTGGGGTTTAGGGTTTAGGGTTTGTTTTACTTCGGATTTCGGCATAGCAACTGCCATGCCTGGGTAGCAAGAGCGCTCTTTTGGGACTAGGCTTTAGGGTTTAGGGCTTAGGGCTTAGGGCTTAGGGCCTAAATATATAACGTCCCATGTACTTGATACTTCCTATTGTAGTTCCATAGGGACTATCAGGGGACAATGTGATCTAAACCCTAAGCCCTAAACCCTAAACCGCACGCAGGGGGAAGCCTCCACGTTGCCCTCGAAGGCGCAGTAGTGCAGCGCAGTTCGCCTCCACATGTCATCGTCCGCGCCTCATCGTGCTCTGAGAAAAGAACCCTAAACCTGAAACCCTAAACCCTAAACCTGAAACCCTATAAACCACCTGAAACCCTATAAACCCTAAACCCTAAACCTGAAACCCTAAACCCTCAACCAGAACCCTTTAAATCCTAAACCCAAAACCCTAAACCTGAACCCTATAAACCCTAAACCTGAAACCCTTTTTCACCCTAAACCCTAAATCCTTAACCTGAAACCCTTTTAGCCCTAAACCCTAAACCCTAAACCTGAAACCCCATAAACTCTAAACCCTAAACCTGAAACCCCGTAAACCCTAAGGCCCATCTTGGCCAAGGGCTGTTCACGAAGAAGTCGTCGTCGCTTCGCCGGGCCTGATTTCTTGGCCCCCTCACTAAACCCCAAACCCTAAACCCTAAACCTAGGCAGTAAACCGTAGACCCTAGGTTTAGTGTTTAGGGTTAGGGCTAAGCTGCGAGCTCGGATGTCGATCTGGACTTCACCCTCGCCTGCTCCAGCAAGTACTTCACGCTGGAGGCATCCCCAATGCTTGCGAAGTAGCAGAGCCTCAACTAGTTCATGGTTGGGATAGTATTAGATTTTTAGACTTATATTCCTTATTGGGTTTAAGTACCCTTAACCAACTATGACAAAGTCAAGCTCTCGCACCACTGGTTCAGCTTACCATGACGCGCAACGGCAGGAACGGCTCTCAAATACTACTAGCAAGCCACGGAGGATTTCGTGCAGCCTACGCCCTACTTCGTTCTCTTCTCCTGGGGAAGAAAAAGGCAAGCTCATGAAACACGAAGCTGGCCGTGCGTGATGATCTCCATCGGATTGACAAGGAATCGCAAGACAAAGTACGTCGGGCGGCATGGGTGCAGTGCTGGCATGAGATGACCAACCTTCTGGCAAGGGTTCAGGGTTTAGGGTTTAGGGTTTAGGATTTAGGGTTTGATAGCCCAGTGGGTGCCCCCGAACCCTTAGACTCCAGGGCACCCTACTATCCCGAACTGATGCAACATCTCCCTGTAGCCCGGCAACCGATTTAGGGTTTAGGGTTTATGACCCTAAACCCTAAACCCTAAACCCTAAACCCTAAACCCTAAACCCTAAACCCTAAACCCTAAAGAGTCTTGGGGTTGGTGACTTCTACCAGGGGACCCAGAGCCCAATAAGGGAACAAGGGGACCACCGGGCCCGCCCCGAAACGACCCTTGTTAGTGAGCATGCGTCGGGGAGGGTTTAGGGTTTAGGGTTTAGGGTTTAGGGCTTAGGGCTTAGGGCTTAGGGTTTAGGGTTTAGGGTTTAGGGTTTAGGGTTTAGGGTTTAGGGTTTAGGGTTTAGGGTTTAGGGATATTTGGGTCTTTTGATCTTTGCTGGCGGCCAAGAACCAGGCGATCCGGTGCGCGTGTGCTGGTACTTCAAGTTCATGACAGGGATCTCGGAGGGGACAGGAGGTGTATGTGGTTTGGGGTTTGGCGTTTAGGGTTGAGTATACATGCATGAGTGGGGCACAACGTCGGTACTTCCGAGATCATACGCCCCTGCCCTGCGCAATAACTTTGATACGAGCCTAACAAAGCTTGCAAGGTCTTCCATGTTGGCACCCCCTCGCCTTGCGCAGTGCCAGGGTTATCTTGCGCGCAGGCCTCGGTATTGACAGGGTTTGGTTTCGGGCTTAGGGTTTCGGATCGGGTTTAGGGTTTAGGGACTCTGCAGCGACGTAGTGTACAGCACATTGGCTGCAGCACAGACATGTACCGTGGACGATGGCGTGGGGATTTACCTCCACGCTTGACGCGCTTGGTGACCCTAAACCCTAAACCCTAAACCCTAAACCCTAAACCCGAAGCCCTAAGCCCTAAGCCCCAAATTCCCAAATTCCTCAGCTCTCGACTCAGGCGGCGGTGGTGGAGTCGGGCCAATCATGTGCTGGAGGATCTCGAAATCCTCCGGCCCCCCCCCCCCCCCCCCAGCAGGCATACGCTGGACGTTAGGGTTTGGGACTCGAGTCTAGAAAAGGTTCGGAAGAATTACTAATGGTATTCCCTTATGGTTCCTTGAAAATTAGACTATAGTAACCTCCGAAACCCTGTTCTAATTATGAAGGCCCCCATATTACCCTGAACCCTAAACCCCAAACCCGAAACCCTAAACCCTAAACCTTGTATTGCCCCGATACTAGGGCTCTGTATTTCAACCGCTCAGCCTGTCTGTTGCGGCCGTCCTTGTCGCGTTGCTGTCGGTCGGCTCTCAACTGGGCGATCTTGCCCAGCACCTGCGCTTTAGGGTTTAGGGTTTAGGATTTAGGGTTTAGGGTTTAGGGTTTAGGATTTAGGATTTAGGGTTTAGGGTTTAGGGTTCTGCAGAGGGAGCTGGAGAAGTCAATACTGTACGTGTTTTGGGGACTCAAACTCACAAAAAGTCCCCACGAAGAACCCAAAACACGAAAGAGCCCTCCAGCCCAGAGCTCCCTACTAAGTTAAGAGCCCTAAAGCTCCAAATTGCCAAGTTAGAACGATTACAGTGCGACATCACGACGAGACCAGCATCACGGAGAAGCTCGCATCTAATGGATCACGAGCTCTGCCACACGTACACGATATCTTGGGCTTTTGTGTCCACGAAGGACCTGTGTACATGTGTATCCAGTGAAATTAACAATCAAAGGTTGCCGCACAGGTAAAGCTTTGTGGTCTTACTTCCTTCAGTTTTTTCTCGCCGTCCGCGCTCCTAGCTGAAACCTGGGATGCCGTGCAGATGCTTCAGGGGTGTAACAAAAAGTGCAAGCATAGCATGAGCAATTCGAACAATTCAATGTCGCTGCCGCCTCGGTGGTCAGCAACGAAGGACTACACACTGGCGGAGCCTTGGACCGACCCGAAGAGACAGGCTCCCCTCCTTCTCGAGGATGCCCCTCTATCAGTTTGGAGACGCTGGGTTCACAGCTGCGCGGTATGAAGGACAAACGGATTGGCAACAGCCTCCGCGCTGTCGGGGGACGCTGTGCATTGCCCGTTCTTGCATGTCTGTCCTGCAAAGCAGCAACTCATTCCGCAACACTTCGAGCCCATTTGGCAACACACAGGATCTCCTACGCCCTGCTTGCACTCCATCTGGCCCATGGGAATGCACTTGAATTGCGTAGCAGAACACTGGTAGCTCGTGGGGCAGCACCAAGACTGAGCCGCGCTCCCGCAACAGCGGTTTCCCGATAGGCACACAAGTGTATTCGTGCACTTGTCGCCAGATATCTCAGCAGCAGATCCAGGAGAAGTCTCTGTCTTCACGCACTGGCTCAATCCACCGGTCCCACATCCATTGTACATGTTGCTGTTGCAGCAGTACGTCGTTCCTGGCGCCTTATTGCAGCACATGAGGCTGGTGCCAGCGCACACGCTCTTGCTGCCAATGGAGCTGCAGTCGATGCCAGTCTGAGTAGAAGTCGATCCTGCGGTGTGATTGGCAAAGTCCAAGCATATTCCTTGTTTGCCACAGTGCCCACTCTTCGGGCAACACCAGCTGCTAGACGTGTCCCCCCCACAACACTGCAGATCGGTTCCAGAGCACACCTTGTTGCTTCCACAAGTAATTCCATACATGGAAGAGGTGCCGGAACCTTTGGTGGTCTTCACGCATTGGCGATTGAAAGAGCTCTTCGTGTCGCATTGCATGCTCTTGTCAAAGCTGGTGGGACAACACCATGGCTGCCCTCCTGAAGATGAGCAGCACACCCACTGGAAGGGCAGTGGACAGTCTTGCTACACGCCAAAGCTGAGGTCGGGTTGCTCCCCTGATAGCATGGATCCCCAGCCAAGCCGGGAGTTGACGCGCAAGCCAATCCCAAGATTGCAAGAGGGCTCCAACATGGCCCAACCACCATGAAGCGCGAAAGTGCAGTGAACACATCATCATGACGCCTGCTGCAAGCCAAAGGACGAATATTGTGCAAAATTGAATAAGCACCGTGTTCGTAGGGGAGGAACAGGGAATGGATTAAACCCCCCAAACCCTAAATTCGCTACTTCACACCATGCCCGAAGGAGCCGATGCAGAACCCTGACCACAAACCCTAACTCCGAATTCCCAACTAAGATGGTCCTCAACCCTGAATCGTACATTCCCCGCTCAGAACTCAAAACCCTAAACTCACTACTCAGAACTCTGAAAAACCCTAAACCCTAAAGTCACCACTCAGAACTCGGAATACACCTTAAACCCTAAACCCTAAACTCTAAACCCTAAACCCTAAACCCTAAACCCTTAACCCTAAACCCTTAACCCTCCCTAAAGCTGGGCGCCACCGACGCAGGCCGCGCCTCCGCGGCCTTGTCGTAAGGCCGGCTCAGCTCCGTGAGCTGCCACGAGTGAAAAAAAATGTGGGCAACTTAGGGCTTGGGGTTGAAGGTTTCGGGTTTCGGGTTTCGGGTTTCGGGTTTCGGGTTTAGGGTTTAGGGTTTAGGGCTTGGGGTTGAAGGTTTGGGGTCTAGGGCTTGGGGTTTCAGGTTTGGGGCTTGGGGTTTTTTGGTCAGCAGAGACATCACAGAGCTCGAGAAGCAGCTAGTGGGCTCCTCTGACTTTTCTCCTCTCTGGCTCGCTTAACTTGGGTGCAAGACCACAGGGCATCCGACAAATCTTGGGGGAGTGCCTGCTCAACGTCAACAGATTTACCACCCATGGTGAAACCTAGACGTGAGCGGTGCAGAAAATTTCGGGGACACCATTTGAGATCAGCTCGGTATGTCTTCGGCGTGGAATATCTGCCATCGCACACCACAGCATGACCCACGTGGGCGGATTGCACTCGAATCTGATGCTTCCGCCCTGTGCCGATGCGCATCATGAACAGGCTGAGCGCTTCGGACTTCCTCAGGAAAGATGCTGACAACCTCAGCCGCGTAAGGGCCGGCCGGCCGAACCTCAGACACGCCAAGGGCCAGCGCGTGTCTGACTGTACAAGCATTCCCTTTCTTACTACTTTACTCTATTGTTTTGTTATTCTGCTATTCCTACACTTCTTGCATTTCCTGCTATCATTACTATTGATTCTATGATCATCATAATATACTTGCTCTGTTGACTAGGATTGCAACCACTACTATGTTTGCGATGAATACGACCTCATTCTTACTGGTACTACTAATGTTTTTGCCATGGCTGCTAGAACGGCTATTCTTGCTATGTGTACTAAAATTGCAATGCTGACGATTGATACGGGCTTCTTTACTTCGTTATCTATCGTACTACTGACTATGTTATTGCTATTGCTACTGGTGTTGCACCTGTTCGTTGCGACATGATTTCCTACTTGTATTGCGTATAATTATACTGTTACCATTCCAGTCCTCATTCGTGCTATTACGGGGGTTTACGAAGATAAGGGACCCCCTGGTACAGTCCCCCCAATGAGTAGGATTCCCTTATAATAAGGACCCAAATGCCCCTAATTTCGGAAACTACCTTATCGAACCATGGCCGGGCACGGGCTGATGAGGCTGCTGGTGGTCCGTCCATCGCTCACCCAGTGCACTGCGGCGCGCACATCTTGCCGGCCACGCAGCCATCCATGACAAAGGACCTGGTAGTCCTGCAGGAGGTAGATCTCTCGAGATCCCCGAAGCCCTAAAAGCCCTAATCCTAAATACCCTAAATCCTGAGCCCTGAAGCGAGGTGCTACGTTTTCAGCGGTTCTGGGGTCTGATTGTCTGCTGATGATTGCACTGTCACGGTTGCCATATCGCTTGCTAGCAAGAAAGGGCTTCTAGGGTTCGGGGTTTAGACACACTCATGCAAACCCTGCGACCGACAACCGTACGCAGCCGTGGGTCTCTTACGAAGCTGCCACAAGCCGTCTGCAGTCGCAGGCTGTAGAATGCTTGATGCGATGTGGCTGTCAAGATCAGGCCTCCAGTCAGGTGAATTCAGCACCACTGTCTGTTCTACTGCTCGACTCCCTGTCAGCTTGCCATTGCATCAGAAAGAGTACACTAGAATCACTGCAGTCGGAGATGTGCAAGCCGTGGCAGCCTGATGATGGCACATCAATTCGATGCACAAAGCCCCGCCAGTGGAGCTTGTCACCTGGGATGCGGCTGAGCACGTGCATCACGTGGGAGTGGAAGCCACACAGTCATCTCAGCATGTAGCTCGTTTGCCGCTGCTAAGTCCGTGGCTGAGGATGGGGAAACGCCGGGCCGGTATGCGCGTTGATACCTACAGAGGGTTTAGGGTTTAGGGTTTAGGGTTTAGGGTTTAGGGTTTAGGGTAGGCATTCCCAAAGGCTCCTGTGTAGTACCTTTTTGGGGTAGTATACCAGAATCCCCTATAGCTAACCCCAAAAAGGAACCACAATGGAGCCTTTGGGTACTTTAACGGTGTTTGAGTTTGGGTGTAGGGTTCCTGGAAGGCATCGTCAAGCTTGGTGTTGTCTTTACTTTTTGAGCAGATGTCCGGTCTTGCATCACCTAATGGCGCGCATCTATAGAACTAAACAGCCCAGATGATCGGAGCCGGCACAGCAGGTTTTGGCAGCAACACCTCCTCAAACCCTGTCGACATGGAGTTGGCTCTTATGGTTTAAGGCTTAGGAGGTTAGGGAGTTTAGGGGGTTTAGGACGTTTAGGGCGGTTTAGGGGGTTTATGCATCCCAGGTGCAAAGCTGGACAAGAAGTTCATGTCCTCCACATCGTCCCCCTCAGCAAGGCTTTCCTCGCCTTGATCCACGCACCAGCCTATGGGTCAGGTCTGGAGGCACTGAAACTCATTGGCAGAGCTTTATGGAAGAGCCACCAAACATGAGAAGCGAGATGGAACTGGACTAGGACTCCTAAACCCTAAACCCTAAACCCTAAACCATAAACCCTAAACCCTAAACCCTCAACCCTAAACCCCTACATCTCAGATGGTTGCTCCATGTGAGGTCCGATCCTAGCCGCCCCCAAGCCTGCCGGCTTGTGGATCACGACCACCCCGGGCATCCCGAGTATCTCACGGGGACCCATCCCCGCAACCGTCTGTGAGCCAGACCTGTGACAGTGCATGCGGGGTTTAGGGGTTCGGGTGCTTAGGGCTCATTAGGGTGTTCGGGGTTTAGGGGGTTTTCGGGATTTTAGGGCTTGAGGGTGAGGCATCCGAATGTGCGCTTCTTTGAGATGCTTGGGGATATGCCAGTTAGCTCACATAAAACATAGAGAGGATGCCCCTGGTTACTTAAAGATATAGTCCCGAATCCACCCTGCATTTGGGGTCGAAACCCTAAACCCTAAACCCTGAACCCTAAACCCTAAACCCTAAACCTTTTGTAAGCCCTCCAAAAACACAAGCTGACATCCCCCTGTCCGAGCTGCGGGAGTTCGGGCGTCTGAGAGCGAAGTGGCTCCGTGAGCTGCAACCTAAGGTTTTTCTGCAACAAGGGCTTCAGGGGAGTAGGGTTTAGGGTTCGGGGTCTAGGACCCCTCCCCCCACAGTATGCGTAGAGTTTGACGGGCCCTGACCCTAAACCCTGAACCCTAAACCCTAAACCCGAAACCCTAAACCCAAAACCCGGAACCCTAAATTGGGTTCTCTGTATCTCCCAGGTATCAAGGCAAGCGGCAGAGCACTCTGGGCAAACCGCAGGAAGCCTGGCTGCCTCACAGCACAATCGGCAACTTCCCAACGTACCGCACTGCGTGAGTTTAGGGTTTAGGGCTTAGGGTTTAGGGTTTAGGGGCTGTGCTGGTTTGCCAACCCGTGAAGATATGCCGGGGGGCAGGTTTTGTGAATAACTCAGTGACCAGATTGTCCCCAGCCTCGGCTGTTGCACGGGCATGACGTGTCGAACTTGCTTAGGGAAGAAGAGCATGCCATACTGTGATCTCCGGCGAATATAAACCCTAAACCCTAAACCCTCTTCGCCAAAGCCATTCCGTATGGAAAGCTTCCATCGCCTAGCTTTGCTTGCAGCTGTGAACTTTACTCTTACGCATCCTCCAATCCGGTTTAGGGTTTAGGGTTTAGGGTTTAGGGTTTAGGGTTTAGGGTTTAGGGTTTAGGGTTTAGGGTTTAGGGTTTAAGGGCCCTTCCCCTCTCCCACTGCTTGCGCCCAGCGTCAAGCCTTCAGCAAAGTCCCGTGCTGCATCATCTTGTTGCAAGGAGCCACAGGCGAAAGCCTTGGCTTACTTGCAATGGTCTACCTAGTAGCCCAGTAACCATGTTATAATAAGGGCACCCGCTTTTGGGTTGGTCATTTTACAAGGGAACCTTGAACCAAAAGAAGGGAAAAGGGTACCACTGGGCTACCAAGTTTAGGGTAGGGGATGTTTCCGTGGCTAGTGTCTATGAACCGTTGAACCTGCTCGAGTCCCTGGGGGGGGGGTGTTCAGTAGACTCCGCGCGACCAACTCTTGGGGCGCTGTTTTCCGAACTTCCGCCAGATCTCATGAATCCTGCAGCGGGATCGGTGACCATTTGCCTTTCATGTGCTGCACGATGCTCTTAACTTCCATCTCGCTTGGCTTCCAGCCTCCATCGGACACAGACGCATATGGGACGCCACACTTGACCAGGATCATGCAGACATGCTTGCATCGCTGCTGGCTCCCCAAACTTTGCGCATCCGGACAGGAGCACACAGGAGGCCAAGAAAGAGAGAAACGAACTTTGTGATCCACGTGGCCTGAAGGCCCAATGATGTCAAATTCAACACCATCCCCTGCATGCCTTCCTGCCTTACAGTCGAATCCCACAGTCGTGGCGTTCTGCCATTCGTCCATGGCTATTTCTGCGACTTCTCGCTGGGACATAGAAGGTGGAGCAGTAGCAGCCTGATGATCAATGTCCGAGCTGCCCATATCTCGGAGGCGTCGTATTAGCTCAGGCTTGGTCAGGCCTGCTGCATCTACATTGCGGCTCGAAAGCAGCTCGATCAGCTCACGCTTGCGCATATTCTCGAGGTCAGCATCCGTGCCCAGCGCTCTTTGGCTGACTGTCCTCTGCCCTCTGCCCCCAATGCTAGCGCTGCGCGCAGAGCAGGCGGGAAGAAATGAAACCGAAGGTGTCTGCAAGAGAGCCGCAAGCGCCGCGAGGAACACCACGCCTCCCGCCCAGCGACTTGAGGCCCTCACCATGTTGGGGGGGTGGTGTTTGAGGTGATCCTGCAACGTAGGGGCCCCCGTAGTTGCTACGCAGAGTCATACAAGGACCCCAACTTGGGCATAGAGCTATGTATGAAAACACATAACACGTACGTAGGATGGTTTATGCAATAAATCCCGTTTCCAAGGCAACTATGGGGTAAGGGGGCCCCTATTCTTCATGCGGGTTGCATGACAGTATCTTACGCCCAGGAGCATATGCAAGCACCTAGTGCAATACCTGGCTCGTTAGTTCTCATTCTTGTTCAACCAGCTTCACAGCGCGCGTCGCCCATGTCTAGTGGGTTGTGATGGAATACGCAAATCCCAAGCCAAGAACAATAAGCCCTGTACAACATAGTTCTGAAGCTCGATTTGAGCCAAAGTGCCCAGCTTCGAGCCAGATCCCTTGACCCTCAACCCTAAACTCTAAACCCTAAACCCTAAACCCTAGAAGAAATGAAAAATGAGCAGAGTTGGGTCGCTTGGTCATCTTTTGCTACGGTACCCTGCAGATGTTTGCTATGGTTTGTTCCCCATCTTTAGGGCCCTCTGGGTGGGTGCTTGTGATAGCTGATAGCACGGCCCTGATTTTGAGGGCATCGCACAAGGGCCGCCAGATTCTTGGAACAGCTCCCCCTCCCTCTTCCCCGCCCTCTTCGGCAAAAGCCCCACATATGGTCCCACAAAAAAATATGCAAAAAAAATGTGTGTGTATATATATATATACACATATGTATACGCCGTTTTAAGTTTAAAGGGGCTTAGAAGGGAAGCCAAGCCCCCCAACCAAAAAAAGGGAATAATGGGTCCTATAGTATAAATACAAATAAATACATCTAAACATAAATATGCAAATATAAAGAAAGCAACAGATATGTGTATATATATATGTATGTATTTACATTATATGCGTAGAATTAGGCTTTATTCATTATAAAGATCTCCGTAAGGGACCATCATGTAGAGAAACTCGCACATGCATCCACCCACGTTGTGGTATGACATTCGGTCTCTTGACCCGGTCCCCTGCCACGCTGAAGATGCACTTGAGCAAGCCCACGATGTCGAGCCGTAAGAAAAATTGTGTGTATGCTCTATGTGTATCCTGAACCTTCTAAAGTCACTAGCTCTGAACCCTAAACCCTAAACCCTAAACCCTAAACCCTAAACCCTAAACCCTAAACCCTAAACCCTGAACCCTAGCTCTGACGGGGAACTGCCCGGCGCTGGATGAAGGCTTCCTCGGCGGCCCGGAAAATCTTGTGTGAGCCTGTCCACGGCTGAACTTGAAGCCTAAACCCTAAACCCTAAACCCTAAACCCTAAACCCTCTAGAATCTAGGGCCCTGGGATGCCCCCAGCATGGTGGTGCCCCATCATCGCCCCATATCTCTCCAGCGGTCTGCCAGTATTCCTCAGAAACCCTAAACCCTAAACCCTAAACCCTAAATACTTAAGTTAGCAGAAGTATTTGTTCTATATGATCATACAAAGCAGTTATAGAAGCTCAATTTAACCTCCCTCGTGCAGGTGCAATTGAGATCTGTGTAGGTCTGCTGCTTGGAGCTTCATGGCTACTACAAAGTACACTTGCATAACCACACTTCTAAGTACCCTGAACACCCAAACAAACCTCAACCCTAAACCCTAAACCTTAAACCCTAAACCCAAAACCCTAAACCCAACCCTGAACCCTGAACCCTGAACCCTGAACCCTAAACCCTAAACCCTAAACCTCAAAGCACCCTCGAACCAACAAGCGGGGCCTGCAGCGGTGCCCACCGCGTAAGCCCAGCAAAGATTCGCGAGCTCCTTCGTGGGCCGAAGAGGCGAGGGAAGCGAGTCTGCAGCTCAGGGTTTAGGGTTTAGGGTTCGGGGTTTGGGGCTTAGGTCTCTGCATCTGCATTTCAATACCATTTTGTGCTTGGCTCCGCTTGCAGGCAGGAGTAGCATGCGCAGGAACACATCCCACGCACGAAGCTCTTGAATCTCAGCATGCGCGTGTCCCCGAAACCCACAACCCAAAACCCCATAAACCCCAAACACCAAGCCGGATGTAAGCTTGCGGCCTGGGCTTGCAGCACGCCCGCGCCCATGTGCGGCGGAAGAATCTCGGCTGCCTCGCGGAAGAGCGCCTCCTTCGTGACCTCAAGAACCCTAAACCCTAAACCCTAAACCCTAAACCCTAAACCCTAAACCCTAAACCCTAAACCCTAAACCCTAACAAGCACAGGCTTGAGGGCAGCTTGGCAGCGGACATGGGGGCTTACGAAAATAGGCGACCCCTCATGTAGTCCCCTTATAAAGGGATCCCCCCCTAAGGTCCCCTGATCACCCTAAACCCTAAACCCTATCACTAAACCCTTATAAACCCTTATAAACCCTAAACCCTAAATCCTAAACGCTAAACCCCCATACTCAAAGCAGCGCAAGAGAGAAGAGAGATCCTACAACCAGTGAGTCGAGTAAGTGTGCTGCCAGCATGGAGGCAAAGGCCCTCAGAAGACTCACCAACCTCGGCCGCGACATGCTCAGACTCGTGTTGTTTCTTTAGGGTTTAGGTTTGGGGGTTCTAGGGTGTTAGGGTTTAGGGCTTTAGGCTGTAAGGGTTTTAGGGATTCAGGGTGTAAGGGTTTTAGGTTTGTAGGGTTGTAGGGTTTCGGGTTTCATGATACAGAAAAGGGATCACATGGAACACGCATTTTTGTGACTTTGTCAAGGTTCCTTGCAGGTGCTGGTGAGTATTTAAGTGTCCTTGTGGGAATACAAATTAAAACAGAACCTTTCTTCAGATGACCGCTGCACTCGCGCGTGTATGTTGCCAGCAGATCTTCTGTGAAGTTAAACCATTCCTAGACTCTCAGTTGTTGTTCTTTTGGGACTCCTTACACTCATATTAACCTCTGCTGACCTAACATATTAGCCTGCAAAAAAAACTGCAAATGGGGAGGCAAGCACCGACTCCAAGACCTGAACCCTACACGCTGTGCGGCCCTAAACCCTAAAACCTAAACCGTAAACCCTAAACCCTAAACAATCGGACAAGTCACTCCTTTGGCTTGAACTCCCCGACCATGCGGCTGGCCCGCCTCGCCGCTTCGTCGCCCTGACAAACTCTCTGCCGCTCCCGGGGGCTCGTAGGGTGTACAGGTTGCAGTGCAGGGTTTAGGGTTTAGGGTTTAGGGTTGAGGGTTGAGGGTTGAGGGTTGAGGGTTGCGGGTTTAGGGTTTAAGGTTTAGGGTTACTCTTTGCGATGTTCCTTCTCTTATATTAACCGTCCTTAACAAAGATGATGATAGGGGCTACTACAATCCCGAATAAGGACTGTTAGTAAGGGGGAAATCCCAGTGTACAGGTTTTTGTGGGCTTGTAGGGAGAGTAGGCTAGAGCCTTGCCATTTGCATGTGCGTATGTGAAAATATTTACATGTTGGAACTGATGCTTTCGGAGTCTAAACTAAGGCTTGCAGGGCTTGTCGATATCATGCAAGGCATCCGCGATTGATGCAAGCATGTCGAATTCAAAGTCTATCCTGATCAAAGACCTTCTGTGGAGGTTTACGAAGATAGGGGACCCCCCATATAGATCCCCAAATAGTAGGATTCCCTTATTCAGGACTCCAATAAGGTACCCCGAATTTTGGAGATCCCTCTGTCCTTAACTTGGCCGCACTTAGGAGGCTAGCTAAAAATAAAACTTTTAGCTGCCTTGTTAAGAAACCCAATAAACCCAAAAAAGGTAAAGATCTAAAGTTACGGTAAAGTACCACAAATCTGCGGGGGGCCTGGTCCCACACGTCTTGCGATGGCGCCTGCTTGGTCAGCTGCCTGAGGAAAGGATGCTAACAAGCTTGGGCAAACTTGAACGGCTTGGGGTTTAGGGTTTAGGGTTTAGGGGTTAGGGTTTAGGGTTTAGGGTTCAGGGTTTCGGGTTTTGGGTTTCAGGACCTATATCAGGTAAGGTACACCCGGCAGAGCCCGACAATGTCAGAACCAGCGTAAGCCATAGAAACCACAAGCCCTAAGCAAACTAACTGTAACAAACCCTACACCTGCATCCCAAAACACCCTCTCGGGGTTAAGCCTTACTGTCGGGGTGCCAACATGGCCCCAAGCCCTCAACCTAAACCCTAAACCCTGATCCCTGAACCCTGAACCCTCAACCTTTAAACGCAAAGTGCCACTCCGGCGCCTCACTGCGTGGTGCAACTCCGTGGCAGTGGACCGAGTGCTGGACGTGAATCCTCTGCACGAAGGGTCTATGGCCAAGAAACCTGATATAACCCCGAAACCCTTCTTAGTTGTCCAGTACCTAGGGGTTTTAAAGGTTAACCTTTGGGAATATAAGGGGAATATATTAACCCAAAAAGGTTAAAGGTTAGCTACTCTACTACTAAGCCTTACGACCCAAACCCCTAACCCTTACCCCTGAACCCAAAACCAGCTCGGGCCTGGGTCGGCATCTGTCAGCGCCAGAACCAAACGCCACTGCAGCCCGTTCTCACAGGCTGTGATGACCTGGGTCTAAGGGTACTTACATGGTCCCTTGGTATGGACCCTAAACAGGTAGCCCTTATATACCCCTTACATAACCCATACTAATCAAGGGCCTATACTTCAGAACCCTTTTAAAGGAGGTTCGGAGGGCCCATGTAACTACCCTTACACTTGGGAGGGCTTCGGGGACCTGGGGTTAGGGGTTTAGGGTGTGGGGTTTAGGGTATGTTTGTATTACAGCCAGGCCTAAAGAAGAAGAAACCGTGCTCCTTACGAAGACGCCCTTACGAAATTGGAGGTCTATAGGCTCTTAGGACTCTGCTCATAACCAGGGCGGCCCATACTTGTACAGTACTGAGCAAACTGCACTCAGCAAACTGCACCCAGCAAACTGCACTTGCAATCAACTGTGGGCAGTGGACCGCATACCTTAGCTTGCATCAGCTCAGGTGACGGCAGTGTTGTGGGTGATGGCACCAGGTTCGATGGAGTTGACGTGCATGCTGTGAAAGAGAGACAAGGCTGCAGCCCATTGCGCAGACTTGGCGCAAGCGCCTATTGCAGCGTTGCAGGTGACACGGTCCTTGGAGATTTGGACCTCTGCCATCTTGTGCAGAAGGGCCAGCGCCGCAAGCCACTGACCACACTTCTCACAGGCACTGATTGCTGCGTTGTAGCTGTTCCGGCCCGTCAATTTGTGCGTGCTCATGTCCTGTAGTAGTGCCACTGCATGTTGCCATTTGAAGGCCGTGCCGCATGCACTAATTGTGGCAGAGTAGCTTGCATCGGTGGGCCTCACTGACGACTTGACTTGATCGAGGAGATCAACAGCCAGTAACCACTGACCACCCCGGCCACATGCACTAATGACTGTATTGAAAGATATCACGTCTGCTTGCACAGAAGCCCCTTGCATCTCTTCGAAAATTGCGAGCGCTGCTTGCCACAGGCTTTCCCGTGAGACGGCGACAAGCACTGAGCAGAAGCTCACTGCAGAGGGGTAGATGAAGATCAGCTTCATAGAGATCAGGTGCTGTAGAGATTGCACCCATTGGTTGCCAGCTGCAAACGAACTAAGTGCCAAGTTGTGCGTGACCTCGTTGCAGGGGATGCTCTTCTGCGCCATCGAGCTGAAGGTTCCGATCGCCTTCATCCAAGCCTTACCTTCCCTGTAGCTGGTAATCGCTGCAGAGCAGTGGAGCGCGTTCGTCTCAAGATGGCCCTCCCTCAGGAGGGTGAAGGCATGCTGCACCTCTTCAGGCGTGGATGCGCGGATGGCCTCTGTAACCTTCTTGGGCTCCCTCTTCCATCGCTGTATTGTCTGCAGATCCTCCGGAGGAAGCCGAGATGGACGGGACCCTATTGTCTGGAGATCCTCCAGACTAAGCCCAATCGGACGGGACCGACTGTCACGCTGCGGTCCTGAGACGGCATGGTCACAAAAAGTTCCTTTGTCGCTGCGTTTGCGTTTGGGGGGGGCGGGGGGGGGGGGGGGGGGGGGGGGTGGGGGGGGAACTTGACACGGTCGCAGGGGCTTGAAGTAGCAGCGATGCAAACTCGAGTCCCGAATAAACCCTCAGTGGGTGGCGACGGCTCACGTAAGAACTTCTTGCTTCTACCCCCACATACCCCCACAAAGGGCCCCTAAACCCTAAACCCTAAACCCTAAACCCTAAACCCTAAACCCTAAACCCACTTCAAGGCGCGCATGGCCGGCGCCACCCGGCGGCGGCTGGTGTCTCAGCGGGTTTCAACCCCCCAAGGGCTTCCATGTGCATTTTGGAGCCAAACGGCTTGGAACTTGGTGCTCCTCGATGTTCGGAATCTCTGGTAAAACTAGCGGTTTAGGGTTTAGGGTTTAGGGTTTAGGGTTTAGGGTTCAGGGCGTTTGATGGGATCGACACTCTATTCATCGTGCTGGCTCTGCATGGCAACGTGTTGGCACCTGCAATCACTGAGTCTCCGAAACGGCGAAACATGCTGGCCGCACCAGCGCGACGTCGTCACTGTCTGCCTGTGGAGGACGCAGGAAATCTTAGGGCAGTTTCCTGGTCCCCGAATTCTGGGCCCCTGACTAAGGGCCCCTTATATGCCCCTGATAACCCTTAACAACCCAAGGGCGAATACTTCAGGACCCTCTAAAGGAGGTAAGGGACCAGATACAGGGACCATGCAACTACCGATGGAAGCCATCGGCCCAACACAACACTAGTACTGCCTGTATGCTCAACTGTGCTCAAGGGATGAAAGGAGGGACGCTTACAAGGGACCTTAGGGGTTATTTAGGGGTTATTTGGGTGCTACTCAGGTAATATAGGGACTATGTAAGGTGTATATAAAAAAATAAATACAAAAATAAATAAGAAAAAATATATAAATATATATATATAGGGGAATAAGATTAAGGGTCCCTTCTAGGGCTCCCTCCTTTTGCCCCTTAATGCGTCCTGCCTGCGGAGGCCCTATGAGCTTCGACAGCTTGAAGTCATCACCCACCCGGGCCACATGGCCTGACATCATCATCTGCCTCCATGCAAGTCGCCCTAACCCTAAACCCTAAACCCTAAAACCCCTAAAAACCCTAAACCCTAACAACCCTAAGCCCTCCATCCCTAAAAGTGCCCATGAATTCAGGTGTCCCGTCAACCTAAAGCGATGTACGGGCGAAGCCTTAAGAACACCAAAGCGACCCTGTCTTACGGGGATTACCCAGACCCTTGGGAGGATCCAAAAAGCAGGTCCCTTTAAGGGTTCTTAAGAATGACCCAATAGTAGTGTGGGGGTGCTACTTTGGGGCGGGTCTACTTTTGGATCCCCTCCAGACATCTTAAGTCGCCTACCAAACAAAAAAAGGGGGCTTTGGGTTCTTATGGAGATCTTGGGGGGCGTGCCGCCCTTTTTTGGGGGGGAGGTTTAGGAGACCCTCTGAAGCCCTAAGCCCTAAACCCTATAACCCCTATAAACCTATAAACCCTATAAACCCTATAAACCCTGTAAACCTTATAAACCCTATAAACCCTATAAACCCTAAACCCTAAACCCTCTAAACCCTCTAAACCCTCTAAACCCTCTAAACCCTCTAAACCCTCTAAACCCTCTAAACCCTCTAAACCCTATAAACCCTATAAACCCTATAAACCCTATAAACCCTATAAACCCTATAAACCCTATAAACCCTAAACCCTAAACCCTAAACCCTATAAACCCTAAACCCTAAGCCCTGAGTCGGGGATCAGCAGGGCCTTGGCCCTTCAGGGTCGATACGAGTTCAGAATGAACTGAACCCTAAACCTCATAAACCCTAAAGCCTAACCCTAAACCCTAAACCCTAAACCCTAAACCCTAAACCCTAAACCCCACCAGAGTGCGGACCTTGCAGCACGGAGAGTCTGGGGAGGAGGGCCCATCAAGTCGGCCTCGTTGCGCGATTTTTGGTCGGCGGGGAGGGATGCAGGAGGTTTAGGGTTTAGGGTTTAGGGTTTAGGGTTAGGTTTTAGGGTTTAGGGTTTAGGGTTTAGGGTTTAGGGTTTAGGGTTGCGGGACTATAAGGTTCAGGGTTTAGGGTCTATAGGGTTTAGGGTCTCCAAGGTTCAGGGTTTAGGGTCTGTAAGGTTCAGGGTCTACGGTCTATTACTATAAGGTTTAGGGTTTAGGGTTTTGTCAGCTGTGAGGGATGTAAGGGGCATAGGGTTTAGGGCTTAGGGTCTGTAAGGTTTGAGGTTTAGGGTTTCTAAAGTTTAGGGCTTAGGAGGGGGGGGGGAAGTCTCGCTTGAAAGCTTCCTAGACTGAAAGCCCTACCCGTGTTCAACTGTGATCCTTCTGACTGTTACGGAAACTTCATCGTAATCCCTTGGGAAGCATTGGGCTACAAATGTGCTTTTGTCTGTGACATGCGGAAGCGAATCAAAATAAGTTGGCCTTTCCCCCTTAGGGGAATGCCTCGGCCTTAGTGACTCAAGACTTTGGACAGGCCCGGCGAAAGAAGATGTTTGTTGAATGAGTTTGGTCTAGTCTCCATGGACCCCCACTACCTGTTGCCCCCTGAAAGCCCGATTATTACTGAAGCCTACATGAGGTACCACATATTGTAGTGGGGCACCAGGTACCTGGGCCGCCATTAACATTCAGTTGTCCAAAATGTCCATATACCACATGGAGATGGGGTTGATCTGTCTGAAAAATGGACCTCATCCCTGAGAATTAGGGTTTAGCCCTAAACCCTAAGCCCTAAACTCTAGACCCTAAACCCTACACCCTAAACGGGCGCACCAGAGCAGAGTCGTCCGATCGGATCTGCTCATCATTGGGAGAGCCTGGCTCCACCATTCTAGATCTTAGGGTAGTTTCATGGTAGCCTAAATAGGGGTTTAGGGTTTAGGGTTTAGGGACCGTTACATACCCCTTATGTACCCTACATAGCCCAACAAGGGCCCGTATTTTAGAACCCTGAGAAAAGGTAAGGGACCATAAAAAGGGATCATGTACCCTTAGAATGAACATGACAAACAATGCTGCGGGTCTAGATCCATACCGGTACGATTAGGGCTTGGTACCCCAGCCCCAGGAACCATACTATAATAAGGGCACCCTTTTTTGGGTTACTTTATAAGGGAACCCATACCCCAAAAAAGGGTCAAGGGCACCCACTTGGGCTACCAAGAGGGGTACCCCAACGATGTACCCCAAAAGGATGCTTCGACAAAGGCACCCTCCAAATTCTACTTAGGGTTTAGGGTTTAGGGTTTAGGGCTATTGGTTCTTTAGGTTCCCCTAGAGGCCAGATTGGGGCTCTAAGCAGGTTACAAGTACAAGATTGTCTACGAGCGCTGAATGTGGGGTGTGAATAGCCCTAAACCCTAAACCCTAAACCCTAAACCCCAAACCCTAACAACCATGCTCCCCTAGGAAACAGCTCCCAGGTCGACCTTCTGCTGACGTGGAGCCGATGCGTGGCGTCAGGCGTCCTGGCCACAATCACCCCATCTGTCACTGTCACTGGTACTCTCTACAGTTTTAGGGTTTCGGGTTAGGGTTTAGGGTTTAGGGCTAGGGTTTCGGGTTTAGGGTTTAGGGTTTAGGGCTTCGGGGTTCGGGTTCAGGGTTCAGGGTTTAGGGTTTACGGTTTAGCGCTTAGGGTGCGGAAAGAGGATGCAAGGAGGATGAAAGGCTTACTAGGCTCGCTAAATTGCTGCGTTCTGAACAATCCTCTCTGCCCTCCGATGAACATTCAAGACGAAGATCTTCTTAACTCCAATCGGCAAGGCAAAACTTCAACCTAAGCTCTTCGAAACTTAAGCCAAATACATACAGATTATGGGAAAGGTAAAAACATCCCAAGCGCCGACCTAGGCATCAAGCACCTACACTCCTTTCGAGCTGATTCCGCCAGGAAAAGTACACCCTTGCCTCTTCCGTCGTATGTGCCAGTCGCGAAACAAACAGCAAACAATAGCAGACCGTCTCTGACAGAGACGTGTTACGCAAGGAGAGTTCAGGGGACCAGGTGGGGGAAGTGAAACAAAAGTCCTCAACCCCATCAACCCCCTCAACCCCCCCAAACCTTAAAAAGCAGAGCTTCTGGATGAAGCGTCCGAGAGGGTTCCGAACATCGGGATATGGTTGAGGGTTTAGGGCTTGGGGTTTAGGGTACAAGTCTTATAGAATGGGGGATTCTGGTCTTTTAGAATATACTGGGGTGCCCCTTGTTTGGGACAACGTTCCCAGGCCTTCGGAAAACGAAGCCGACCCACCAGTAATCGCATTCAACCTGCTGGGGCTGGCAAGCGCTGACTTTTCTGACTCGACGGGTGCAGTACATGGCTTAAAGCTTGCTAGCCTAGTAACCGCATCAGAATAAGTATAAGGGTACCCTTTTTGGGGTTGGTTGCTTGATTTGGGAACCTTGAACCAAAAAAAAGGGGAGAAGGGTATCACTGAAGAAGGGATGGCATGCCAGGGAGTGAAAATCTGTCACCCTCCCATGTTTTCATGTATCCTAATTACCCAAAGGCTCCTATGTAGTACCTTTTTGGGGTAGTATACTTTAATCCCCTATACCTCACCCAAAAAGGAACTACATTGGAGCCTTTGGGTAAACCCTAAACCCTACAATTCTCAAAAACGCTCATACTTTCCGTGAGCTGAGTTGCTTGTGCAATGCTAGGCTGCTGGGTAGGCTAGGTGGCTGCTTCTGCATGCCCGTACACGGACCTGCTGCTGCGTCACACAAGAGAAGGCAACCACGACAACCACTCCCAAAGAACACACCAATCAAAGCCCAGGCCCAAAATTCTTAAACAAGGAGACCCTAAAACCCACCGAATTCCCCCAAGCCCTTAAAATAGCAAGCCTCGGAGACCTAAATCTTTAACGTGAGTCTATCTTGGCAGCCTCAGATACAAGCATGAAGAGGCATGACATCGAATACGGTTCACCTGGGTGCGGCCAACTACAGTAGTGGCAGCTCCTGTCCTTTGCTGTTTGACTTTAAGTAGGCTCTAGACACATCTGAACACTAAACCCCTATACACCTAAAACCCTGATAAGCCCACAACACCCTGAAGTGAAACGCAAGAAAGTTCCCCCCCGCCTCTCATCATCCTCGATGCTGGCGACGTCCAGTGGAGCCGGTGCTGCTCGCTGCTCAGAGCGAATGAGCCTTGAGGCAAACGAAGGTAGGGGGTTGAGGGTCTGGGTTTTAGATCGTGGTC